AGGTTACGCAGGTGGCCGCGCACAAAGGGCAAGATGGCCCCTAACGTAGGCAAGTTTGCAAAAACGTCAGCTCTGCGTCCTTGCAAAGAACCATTTGGGGAGGCAGAGGAACAAAGCTTGGGTAGAGGTACAAAGCTTGGGACGTGTTTTCAAATAACCATTGTCTTCAGGGACCCTTTGTCATTATTGACCTGACTAATAAGTGCTTAATGATATTCACTTGTTTATCGATTGGGCAGGCGGTCTGCCGTGTGCCATGCACAAAAGTAGGTGTCGGGCAGACCAGGGAAAGCAAGCAGGGGGCTGGGTCCTCCCAGGGCTTCTGGTCTGCAGGTGAGGGAGACAAAAGCGAAAAACAAGGTTGTGCACAGAGAAAGCACAGAGCTGCCCTGGGCCATTGTGGCCACTGCTGAGCGAACGAGGGCAGTGAGCCTCATGGTGCCTGATCTGGGAAAACGAAAGTAGCCTTTGGAGAAAGGAGCAGGACGGGGAGCGGTGGAGAAAGACGCACATGAACGCTGAGGCGCGCGAGCAATGGCAGCGAGGCAGGCCAGGCCGCACAGGGATGGGACGCCGAGACCTCACTGGCATAGCAGCTGGCCCCGTCCTTGTGTCAAGTGGACCGGCCCTGGTTTCCCCAACACTGAGCCAAATGAGAACTCGGCCTCGTCCACGTACCCCCAAAGGCAACCTACTCAAATACCCTCAATTCATACACTTAATTAATACACAGTGGACTTGACTGGACATTTCCTGAAGAAATGGCACGGACGCCAACTCGCTCCGCATCGAACAAGGCAAAAGTCCAGCGGAGACGCCCGTTCCCCCGAGCAGCCCGCTTGTCCGCCCGGCTCCCCTCGGCGGTTGTCTGCTGGCCTGTCTGCCACGGTAACCAGCATCTCGGCACCCCTGCCACCACCAAGCGCTTCCCATTCTCCAACTTCCCACGCCCCTCAGAAGTGAGTTCCTCTCCCTGGTGCTCACATATCACCGTCGCATGTGGCCCGTTTCACTACTGTCTCCAGAAAATTTATTTCTAAAATCTTCCCTGAAAAATCAAATCGTAGTGAACGCGACCACTACACACACACACACACACACACACACACACACACACACGCACACGTTATTTAATTAAACATATTTGTTGACAAGGTTTACTTTCTTCCTGTGCTGTTGCCTCCTGCCCATTTTCCTAAATGTCACTCTGCCAATGTATTTCATCCTCCTCCTTGCATTTGTCCACTGCAGTAAAAGACAGGTGGCAGGTGGGCAGCTGCTAGAGGCTGGGACACTTCCCAAAGGCCACTTAGCGTCTGTCATGCCGTGTTTTAGGTAAGTAAGAAACACGTCTGAATTTTATCCGAGGAGGAGATGTTTCATCTTCCCCCAATCACTGCACCTCTGGGGTAGAAAGGACCTTTGACAAGACATCATCCAATTCAGTCCCCAGAGTCTGCAGGTCAGGGAACAGAGGCTCACGGTAGAGAGGTGACGTCCCCAAGGTCATGCAGCTCAACAGGCGGACAAGACTTGAAACTGGGTCACCCACAACACTGGGACTCGGTGGCGGGAGTGGAGGTCGGGGGTGCAAAGGAACAGAAGAGGGGGCGATCTGGGCCCTCGCCCTTTCTCTCGTCTCTAGGTGTGAAATAGGTCAATGCCCAGAAATGTCGACTGTGGACGAAAGCCCCACTCAGGTAAACAGTCTACAGTGGAGCGTTAGCCATCGCTGAATACTGAGCAGCGTTTACACCATACCGTGGGCTCCTGCTAATTATGAGACTTAGTAGACTGTGACCCGTTAACAGGCTCAGGAATTCCAGTCAACCTTTAAACAACCTAGAACTCTTTTATATTCCAAAGGAGGCTATTGAATTTGAAGCTGAGATTTGCATTTTAAAAACAAACAAAAAAACGAGCACAGACCCACTGGACCCATAGCATGTGATTCCGGGCACGGTGCGCCCAGAAACGACCAGCATTGCCAGCCGCAGCCCTAACAACACCGGCTGGCAGGCAGCGGCCACCTCAACCGGGCTTCGGGTCCCTCTAATGCGAGAGACGGGACTTCCAGCGTATAACGTGTCATCATTAGAGGGATTTTTATCTTCTCTTAACTGGAAGATGGAAGAGGCCGGGCGGGCATGGAAGCAGGGGGTGTGGGGGACAAATGAGGGCCCGCCATGGCCACGGTGCTGTTTCTCTATGTCTCCTCTTGACCCTCCCTCACTCCTGTCTGCTCTAACAAATGGCTGGAGAGAAAGGCACGTAGGTCTCTGTAATCCCCAGTGCCACCTCCTTACCTTTAACTCAGCCCAGGTGACAGCTCCCCCGACCCCCGCGCCCCGTCTCGCCTTCGCCCTCGGAATCACTGACTCCCATGCGTCAGAGACGGATGCGATCTCAGTTCTACACAGAAAGGCATCCGCACAGGCCTTCGAGGCGGAAAGCGTGGCTTCTCCGCTCCGCCACTCGCTCTGGTGCCCCTGGAACTTCGTTACACCTCTCAAGTCTCGCCTTTCCCACCCGTGAAATGGGGATGATATGAAACACTACACTGAGTCGCAGTGAAGACTAAACTGAATGTGGTAACAGCTGGGCTCCATGCACTTTAGAGACTTTGCAATGCTGAGGGAGGGGAGGGGAGGGGAGGTGGAGGAGGGGAGCAGGCAGTCCGACCCACGCGTCTGCCTTTGCAGCGAAGGTTTATCAAATAAGCTGGCGGGAAAGCCGAATGCAGACGTGGCCCCAGTTCTGCAGGATTGAAGGATGCGACACAGAGCCAGGCCCGATTGGTGTCCTGGCTGCTCATGGCCTCCATGTGGTTGGCTCCAGTTCTCACACCCCCAGGGGTGAGGGGACAGGACACCCCGGGGAGAGTCTGGACGAACGGCCGCCTGGGTGAAGACGAAGAGGCCTCAGGGAGGAGGGCTGAATGAGCAAAGGCTCAGAGACAGGACCACACATCTTGGCCCTCAGCGCAAGGTCTCTCGAGGATGCCTGAAGGTTCGCCAGCCAAAGGACCGTGCCAGCCACCAGAGTGCAGATGAGCAGAGTCCGAGGCTCCCTCCCCACCGTACCCCGCCACCCACACCACCACCTGGACACCATCTGGAAGAGAGAAACGAGTGACCATAACTCCTCGCCTACGCTCAGCGCTTTAGACACCCAGGTCATTCGAGCATCATTATTTCACAGGCTCCGGCGTTTCTGATTCAGCCTCGTTGAGCGAAGAAATGCCACATGTGTGGAATGATTCAGATCTGAATAGCTCACCACGTTCCTGTTTGTATTTATCCATTTTGGAACCCACCCCCCCCCAACGAATGCCAACGATTTTTTCTCCAGCAAAACAACATTCTCTGGACGTTTCAGCAGTTAATGCTAACTACGGGCCTTTGGTCTTTTCTTATGTTTACTTTAACATGCCAGGCAAATGAACGGGGTCGGTTAATGATTCATCCCTCCCTCCAAGTGGCATTCAGCATTCCCTAGGCATCGACCCTGGTGACTCTGACACAACACGGCTACACCGAATCCATTATCCAACCAACTGGTCTGCAACCCCACCATCATTAGCATGGAAATTACCACAAATAAAGGGCAGGTGACAATGACTCCCTTTCCTGTAGGTCACACTGTCTGGAGAGAAATCGAGCAGGTTTTTGTTTAAGAACATTTATTTTGAGAACAGGCAGTCAAACTCACTAGGGGTCGGATTTCGGTCTTTTGAATATCTACCCATTTTCGACAGGGTCATGGGATTTGAGAGGTGAACTCTGAACAGCATCCAGTACGGAATTCAGGGGTAAAGCTCGGGAACATTCTCGTTCTCCCTGCTTTTCTCCTAGGAAGTCAGGGGTGGAGATGGAACAGCCGTGTACCGCTTCACCCCGGGTGAGGCGGGGGCCCCGGCCTGGAGGAAAGGGGAAGCAATCCCCATTACTCCACTGTCCCGTGGCAAAGCCTCAGAAACGCCTCCTTCCCCTAGCAGGAGGAAGGCCGGCCTTTCGCAGAATTTGAATTTTCCACAAATCTTCCCTGGCTGCTTCTTGCCACCTCGCTGCAACATCCAGTCCCGACTTCGGTCCCGGGCCACACCTGCCTCTGCCAGTGACGGTGCTGGACTCCGCTGCTGCCCACACCCTGTGAGTCCCCTCAGCCCTGGGGCGGCCTCTGTGCTCCTCACTCACCGAGGGCACGTCCTGCCCCTTCTCACCACCTGCGCATGGGGCCAGACTCCAGAAGGATCGCCAGCTCCGGCCCCAGGGGCTGACCACCCCGAAACCAGCCATTCTCTGTGCTACTAATTCACCTGCCACATGCGCTGAAAACCAGCCGTCAGCTGAAAACCAAGCCAAACAAAGCCGAGTGGACACAAGGTACAAGGCACACTGGTACCACCGCCTGGCCTGCACCCACACACGCGCCCTCACCCCAACGTGCTCTCGCCCCAGCCGCTCACGGTCCAGAGCCCCCATTTCTTCCAGCTCCCGGAAAAAGAGGGATGAACCCCCTCAGCCAGATCCAGGTTTACGATCTCCAGCTTTCCCAGAAAACCGAAGTGGGAACACGCATCCCCGTCCTGACCTGCCAGACGGTGGGTCCCTCCCCTCCGTCCCGTGGTCTTGATAAGACAGTGGGAGACTAATAACGGTACCTGTCCCCGAGCGTGGGCTTCTCAATCTTACGTGTGATTCTAAGTCAAACCCCTGGCCACAGAGGTAAGTCCATGCGAGGGTGAGGGATGGCGGCGAGGGCGGGCCTCCGTCGACCTCTCAGATCTGTGTTAGACAGTGACACTGCTCCACGGGGCAAAACGAGCAAGAAATGCAGAGGACGGAGCGCAGGCCCTCGTGGGGTCTCTGTTTCATGGCCCGACCTTCTAGAACTGTGACTTAAACGGAATATTTGTTTATCAGATCCTACTGGTCTTGTACTATGCTTGCACGGGAAAGTAAGACTGGCGATCCCAACAGCCACTGTGATAAGCATTCTGCTCCTGTCCCTGGCTCTTTGTTTATACAGCTCATGAGAATCTGATCGCACGGCGAGCCACCCACTGGACATTAGCATCCTAGCTGATGGGGACGTGGCCCAGACAGTGTGAATAATATAAGCTGTCTTTGAAACCCTCGCTCGGTTTTTTCTCTTTTTCGAGGGCTGGGGACATTTCTAATCGGGAGTGTGCCCGACCACCCTGGTGTGGTCACTTCTGAAGCTCTGATCAGAAAGGCAGCCAACTAAAGGATCCTGGGCTGAAAATGGGGTGCTCAGCCCAGAGCTCCGGGGGTGGGAAGCCAGCACAAAAACGGATAACTGGTTAAAGCAGAATGCTCTGAAGACAGCAGTGGGGGCTCTTGTAAGG